GATTTTTTAGGAATGTCCGTATTCTTTTCCAAAAAGGTTGGACCAATCTACATTTCTACTAACAGTGAATGAGAATCCCTTTCCCTTTCTCCCTACATCCATGCCAACAATGGTTGCTCTTTTTTTTTTTCTTTTTTTCTTTTTGGGTCACACCTGGCGATGCATGATGCACAGGGGTTACTCCTGGTCTGCACTCAGGAATTACCCCTAGCGGTGCTCAGGGGACCATATGGGATGCTGGGAATCGAACCCGGGTTGGCCGCGTACAAGGCAAACGCCCTACCTGCTGTGCTCTCTCTCCAGCCCGCTCTTTTCTTTTTGACGTTTGCCAGTCTCTGTGGTAGGAGACTATATCTTATTTATTGTTTTGATTTGCATCTCATCGATTATTAGTGATGCAGAGTATTTCTTCATGTGCCTTATGGAATTTTATATGTCTTTGAGGAAGTTTTTGTTTTTGGACCATACCTGGTGACGCTCAAGGATTACTCCTGGCTCTGTACTTAGGAATTACTCTTGGTAATTACTCTTGGTGGACCAGGTGGAATGTCGGGGATCAAGCCTGGGTTGGCTTCGTGCAAGGCAGGTGCCCTATTCTCTGCACTATCTCTTTGGCCCCCTTAAGGAAGTTTCTGTTCATCTCTTCATTTTTTTTTTTAAAAGGGGTTAGATTTTTTTTTTCTTATGAAGTTCTACCAGTACCTTCTATACCTTGGATATTAACCCCTTGTCAGATGGGTGTTGGGTAAATAGTTTCTCTCATTCTTTAGACTGACTTTTTATCCTGGTTATTATTTTCTTTAAGGTGTAGAACCTTCTTCATGTAGTCCTATTTGTTTATCTGCTTATATTTGTCAGTGGTATTTCATCCTTGAAGATACCTTTAGTTTCCATGTCATGGAGAGTTCTACCTACATTTTCCTTTATGTACTTTTTGCTGTAACTGGCTAGTTTGCCATATTATTAACTAGTTTTTAATGGAATATTTAGGATTTTTAAAAAATATAGATCATTGTCTACTAATAATCATAATTTAACTTATTTTCCAATTTAGATTTTTTAAAAAGTTTTTGCAGTCTAAGTGGCTCTAGTTAATGTCTCCAAATTAATTAGAGTTGTGAGCAGTAGGTAGCCTTGTCTTTTTCCTGGGTTTAAAGAGTAAACTTTGGGACCAGAGAGATAGGGCACTTCCTTGCACATGAATGACCTGGGTTAGATCCCTGGTACCCCAGATGGTTTCCCATACCCTACCAGATGTGATTGCTGAGTGCAGAGTCAGGAATAAGTCCTGAATATCATTGGTTGTGCCCCACCTTCCAAAAATTAAACTGTTCATTTTCACTGTTGAGTAAGATATTAGCTATATGGGTTTGGCCTTTTTAATGCTGAGATGCTATTTCAGCCTACATTTGTTGAAAATTTTATTATAAATTTGTTATTAAAAATACTTTTTAAGAATCTGTTACTATCTCATGATTTTTCTTTTCTTTTTATTAATGTAGTGTGCCATTCTTATATTCCTGAAACTGGGTTCATGTATGATCCTTTCAGGTATTGTTGAATTTGATTTGCTAATATTTTGTTGACCAAAAATGCATATCTATTCAGCAGAGGTTTTTGTAGTGACTTTTTTTTTTGATTTTTAAAAAAATTTTAATTAGTGAAACACCATGAGGTACAGTTGTAGACTTACAAATTTTTGTGCTTGGGTTTCGATTATCAAATCACGAATCAAATCACAAATCATCCTGTTAATCGTCGATCGCCTTGAGCAGGCCCCAGTAACGTCTCCTTCATCCTAGCCCTGAGATTATATTCAAGGCTCTTTAGGAGAATGAGACCCATCATTGTTACTGGTATTTGGCATATTGGGTATGCCACGGGGAGTTTGCCAGACTCTGCCGTGTGGGCAGGCTACGTTCGGTAGCCTGCCAGTTTGTCCAAAGTAGGAATGAGATAATAAGATGTCATAATAGGTTCCGGGAGCTGGTTTTTATAGTCTCTGAGTCTTGGCCGTTGATAGGATTACACGGCGCCAGGGGGCCAGGTGGTGGGTGTGACCCCCGCCTACTGGAATTTGGAGGATCTAGGTGGAGGATGCTCGAGTAGGCTTGGAGATCTCGGCCCCGGAACCCGTGTGACTTTGTCCCTCTGCCAGTACCTTCATGTGTGTGGAGAGTGGTCTCAGCATGGTGGTGGCTGGTCCTGGAGGTCTTTGGCTGCCGGAGCCCTGGTTGGGGTGGGGAGGAAAGCTCAACCCGCTCCCCTCCAAGGGGTCCCGGCGAGGACAGCCAGGCACGGGGGCATACAATGTTCCGCCACCAATCTCTTCACTGAGGTCCACTTCTCTCCTCCAACGTTCCCAGTTTCCTTCTTATGGCAGGCACTGTTTTTCTTTTCTTCCTTTCAGGCACTGTGGTTTATTTACCATATTGTTAGTGCATGTCTCTACCTCCGCTCAGCACCCGGTCCTTGTCCTTCTATCAACACCCTCTTTATTTGCTTTCGTTGCCTTTGGGGCATTAGTTATTACCTTGTGAAATTTTAACTTCTTCATTGATTTAGCAGTTGCTGCAAAGCATGCTGTTTAGTCGTTGCATGTTGCACATTTTATGAGGTTTTCTTTTGGTGGTTTCCAATGTTATAGCATTATGACCAGAAAAAATACTTAATATGATACTAGTCTTCATAGGTTTACTGATACTTGCTTTGTGTTCTAGCACATGGTCTTTCCTTGAAAAAGTTGCATGCACATTTGAAAAAAATAAATTTGGCTGTTTTGGGGTAAAATGTTCTAGAAATGTCTTCTAAGCCCTTCTGTTCTTGTTCATCATTTAAGGCTATTATCTCTGTATTCTCTATGTAGTTGTTTTGTCTATAGTTGTAAATGGGGTATTGCTGGTCCAGCCAACAGTTGAACGGGTGGAGAGGGAAGGTGAGGATCAAAGAAACTATATACAAGTGGTTGAGAGGGCTGAGTTAGTTCTTGTGGAACAGCAGCATTGATCTTTATTTCAAACAGCCTCTTATACATCTCTATCAGGAACTTGGCAGGTAAAATCATCCATTGTAATTGCAAAATACATATTCCCAAGATCATACATTTCTTTGACCGTAACAAAGGTAGGAAGAATAATATAATGAAAACAATGGTTACTTAGATCAGTAACAGGAAATAAGAACATGGTAGAAATAATAACAAAGTATCCTGAAGAACACTCATACCTTTCCTATGTACTTTTCATGATTTACCAAAGGTGTAATTTCCTGCATATGCCACAAAATCACAATGCATCCATTTCTTATTAACTTCTCTTGCAAACTGAGGATGATGAAGTATTGCTTTTTTTTTGAGCGGGGGATCACAACTGGTGTTACTCCTGGCTCTGCACTCAGGAGTTACTCCTGGCAGTGATCAGAGGACCATATGGGATGTTGGGAATCAAACCCGGGTTGGCTGCGTGCAAGGCAAACGCCCTACCCGCTGTGCTGTATCTCCAGCCCCAAGATGATGAAGTGTTAACTTCTCTGTAGGCTTGAGTTAGCGACATAATGGCTACTCCACGTATTAGAGGTGGCGGAACAGAGAGCTATGCCAAGTACACTTGGCCCTCTGAATGAGGCAGCTCCCAGAGCTAGGTTCACTTAAGGACCCTGCTTAAGCAGGCAGCTCCCCACAGGGTATTGCAAATCTTGCACTTTGTAGAAGATCTCCTTTCCTCATTTTGATTAATATTACATGCTAAAAACTACTGTGTACTGGGCATCTTTCTTTACCTTGCCTATATCAGACTTGTAGCTGCAGGGTGTAGTTCTGGGATATTAGGGTACCTTGGTGTCTGCACATTTACACCCCCGCCCCCACCCTCCCTGCATTTATTTTAGATTATCTAGTGCCAACGCAAGGTAGGAGCAGAGTCAGCAACAAGCAGAGAGGTCACTGTTGAAGGAAACGATGCGCCCTTAGCCTTCTAGGGGCTGCTAGTGTCCACGCGAATTAGGTCAATATCTGCAGCCTTGGGGCTGGAGCAATAGCACAGTGGGTAGGGCGTTTGCCTTGCACGCGGCTGACCTGGGTTCGATTCCCAGCATCCCATATGGTCCCCTGAGCACTGCTAGGGGTAATTTCTGAGCGCAGAGCCAGGAGTAACCCCTGTGCATTGCCGGGTATGACCCAAAAAGAAAAAAAAAATCTGCAGCCTTCCACTCCTCAGGGCAGGTTTTGCAATCAACGTTTGTCCCTCCACTATGGTCTAGTCCTAATCAGTAGGTTCTGCACCCAGATCTTCCAGAAGTGTGCAGACAGGAGAATGATCTAGGAGCTGTGGGTCTGGATGTTGCAAGACTGCTGTCTCTCAGGCAGATTCAGTCAGGCTTGTTCTCACAGTTCATAGGTGTTCTTAGTGAAAAATTGCTTGCTTTGAATTTGTTAACGCTGGACTCTAACTAGAGGCATACAGTAGATTGGGGCTATAGGTAAAATGTAGGTCTCACCTTGGGCAGGGCTAGACAGGCAGCCCAGGAACCCAGTAGCAATGGAGTTCTGTCTCCCTTGCGTACTTGGCTCTTTGGCTATTTGCTGGCTGTTTGCCTTGGAGCTCTGTTCTCTAGGATTCCCTACCCTTTGGAGGAAAGCTCTCTAATCTGTGCCAACCGGGTTACAAATCATAGTCTGCTTCTGTCCTCTTCTGCAAGGTCTAGTGTTTCCAGGCACTGAGGTGAGCTACAGTTATTCTAGTTATTCCTGTTGTCTCCTGCTCCCATAGAATCTGGCTCATTCCAGGGTCTATATTTCATTCTGTTAATCACATTTAGTTGAAAATTGGGGAGAAGAACTTCCACCATTATTATTCATCCTTCATTATGTCACAATGTTTTTTCAAATTTTATAAAGAGAGTTATTGCAAATATATAGAAACAAAGATGATTGTTATTTTAAGAAGACACCAGTTTTTTTTTTATTAATCAATTGTCTTACTTTTTTATTTTAAACTTTAGTGATGGAATACCCAACAATGGAATCTAACTCACTTTTTGTCCCAGGATTAAAAAGATGTGTGAGAGACAAAAGAATTTCGAAGACCGCTAAGTTGAATGTTTCTCTTGCTTCAAAAATCAAAACAAAAATATTAAGTAAGTGATATTCTTCTAGAGAAGCTAACCATTTTACTTTCCTTGATGAATTGTTATTACTGTTTGTTACTTGGTTTTATCAAGCAAAATATGACTTTTGTTGAATGATATTTATTTCCTATTTGATTCTTATCTCCTTAAGTCCTGTTAGTTGGCTAGTTATAATGATTAACCCCTCACTAGTGACAACTGAGTTTTCATCAGTGAGGTTGGGGTTGCCCAAGGCAGCTAGCTAACTGCTGTCCACTAAAAAAAAATACCAATATGATCTTTCTGGAAAGAAGATTGTTTTATTTTTTTCATTTAAAAAAATTTTTTTTTGCTTTTTTGGGTTACACCCAGCGATGCACAGGGGTTACTCCTTGTTCTGCACTCAGGAATTACTCCTGGCTATGGTGGGGGACCATATGGGATGCTGGGAATTGAACCCAGGCTAGCAGCGTACAAGGGAAATGCCCTACCCACTGTGCTATTTGTTTCGCTCCAGCCCAGATTTTTTTTTTTTTAATGTGAGATTGTTTTTCTGGCATGCTGTAGCAATTGAATGATGGGTCATCTACATAGTTGTCCCAGACAGGGTCTCATAGTAGGTGATTTTATATAGCCAAAGGTCAGTATGATGGTTCTGAACTCTTTAGAGGTGGAGTTTCATGACTTCTGGAGTTGAGATATTACTTCTAGGAATGATCTCCATGGTTCCATCTTTACAGGAATGGGGAAGGTTTCCTGCTGGTATAGTCAATGCAAGTGGTTAGTGTGTGTGCCCTGTGAAATAGCCAAATCTCCTTAGCACCTTTAGATTTTTTTGTTTGGTTGATTGATTTTTGGTTTGGGGCCATACTTGGCAGTACACAGGGCTTACTCCTGGCTCTGTGCTCAGGGATCACTACTGGCAGGCTTGGGGTACCATATAGGGTAATGGGGAATGAACCTGTGTTGGCTACATGCAAGGTAAGCATCCTACCCATTGTACCATTGCCCTGGTCACCAACATCCCAAGTGTCTTTATAACCATGTTCCTCTTTCCCACTTCTCCAGCTCCACGACCACTTCCTATAGTGGCTATTTACTGTTCTCTTTAGCATGGCCATTACATATTCAATTGTTATGAAAGACTGTATTGAATTTGAGGAATGCAATAGGAAAATGTTATTCTCTTTTAAATTTTGGAAATTCTTAAATCTAGTCTATTTCCATTTGTTCTTATCAAGAGAATTATTGGAATCTTCTTTCTCTGTGCCAAGATGAAGTAATTTTTGGACCTATTTTCACATTTTTTTTTTTCTGTAGAGAGCACAGGGGCCCTAGCCAGTAGTGCTTGGGAACTGAGGGCTACTCCCAGTGAAACTCAGCTCAATAGGACAGGCCTGACTGCTTCTGTGCTTGTACACAGCCTGGGGTGCTACTTTGACCCAGCAGTACTGAGACTACTCGGGCTACGTCTGGAAATGCCTGGGAAAACTTGCCAAAACATTTAATCACTATTTTATTGGTTTTTGTTTGGTTTTGCTTTGGGGTCATACATGGCAGTTCCCAGGGCTTACTCCTGACTCTGTGCACAGGGGTCACTTCTGGTAGCGCTCAAGGGACCATATGTAGTTCTAGGGGATCAAATGCAGGTTGCGCATGTGCAAGACAAGCATCTTCCTTGATGTACTATCTCTTCTGCCCCAATCATTATTTTAATACATGTTTTTCACAATTGGGTATTATATGGAATAATGGTATACGTTTTATAAATCATGGAGAGTATTTTAAGGAAACAACTAAATTTAAGGCTGACCAATAAAATTCCTTTGCTACCAAGAGAGAAGCATCTTTAAATTATATTTACATAGTACTTATAAAGAGAAGCAGTCAAATTTACATTACTACATACCTAGAAATAAGAGACTTTGGCGTGTGGTAGGGGAGGGTAGTAGATCCCATCAGGGTTTAGTTGATCCGTGCAACATTATACTTAAGTTTGCTTCTTTTCACTTGAAGTTTTGAAAAATGGAATTGGGAGCATTAACTATTTTTTCTCAGTTCTGGAATCACAGAAAATGGGTCTAAAGTGTTCACTGAATGTCTACAATCATTCCTATGGTATCAGCTTCTCCATTCTATATCCTAGTCACAGGAAGGAAGGTAGAAAGATCAACAAGTATCGACATTTGGTTTTTGTGACTGATTTAATTAACTCTAATATAGTATTTATTCTGAAGTTTCTTCAACTCTATTCACAGATATTCTGCATTCTTCACAACTCTTTTCTTACCTGATTTCAACTCAAAACTGAGTATATAGTCTTCAGAGTTGCCTCTGTATTATTCTTTTTTCCAAATCAATTAAAACTTAGAAATTGAAGTACATTGTTGAACAATTGTTTTATTAAGGAATGTGTAAGGTATAAGTTCAATATTAACTCTTTAAATTTTTTTTTGCAGACAATTCTTCTATTTTTAAGATTTCTTTAAAACATAACAACAGAGCATTAGCTCAGGCTCTTAGTAGAGAAAAGGAGAATTCTCGAAGGATTACAACTGAAAAGATGTTATTGCAAAAAGAAGTGGAAAAACTGAATTTTGAGAATACATTTCTCCGTCTAAAGCTAAATAATTTGGTATGGAAACTATTGTGTTTAAGCTAAAAGTTTTAACAAAATCTCAACTATTATTTTGGAAGCTCTAGAAATATATTTTAAATCTCAAATTACTGAAAGAATAGTTACTAAAATAGGCATCTTGAGTCCACATTCTAAATATTTATCTGTGTATTCCTAAAGGTGTATATGTAGCACTGCAAACCAGTATAGTGTCTTAATCAGTATTTGATTGCTTATTACAAGCAAAACTTGGTGCAAGGCTACATTTTGAGGATTTGGGCATAAAATTTGTCCAGTAAATTAAAAGGAGGGAGTTTAGACTGTTTGTATTCTTCTTTAATCCTAGTATTTCAGTGATTACAAGCCTAATGGATTATAGTCATTGCTTTTTCTTTGAATTTTCAATTCTATCTTCAGATAGAGCAGTAAAAAGCAAAACAAAAATCACAAGATTATCTGGACTGGAACTATAGCTCTATCTAACACTGAATTGAATAAAAATTGTTTAAAAAAGGAAAATGATCCACTAGAGGGCTTAAATTCCTGTGGATGACAGTCTATGATCACTTCCCATTTGATGCATTATCATTATTAGAAGACAGAAAAATGTTTGTAGGGAAATTTATGATCAGAAACATTCTAGGTATGCATGTTTGTGTGTGTATGTGACAGAGTACATGTGTATAAGACAGTGCATGCAAGTGTGTATTTGAACTGTATAGAACAGTTTCTTATATAGAGATTATTGGGGGGGGGGGTGGGGGCAACTAGTGCTCAGGAGGCTAAGGGGCTGCTCTACTCTATACTCAGCTTGGCTGTCAGTTCTGATGGTTCAGTGCTCAGTCCCTGCAGTGTGGTGCTGCTCAGACACAGAGGCACTGGGACCAGCAGAGCAACCCAGTCACATCTGGTGGTGTTTGGGTGGCCTGGTAATGCCAGAGTCAAACCTGGGGGCCTAGCATAAGTAGAGCAAGTATTCCATTATTTGCTGCATCCTATTATACCATTGTGCTTTTTTGTTTGTTTTGGGGCGACACCTGGCAGTGCACAGCTCCTCCTGGCTCTCTACTGAGAAATCACTCCCCTAAGCTAGTGAGACCACATGAGTTCCTGGGGATTGGACTCAGTTAGCCATATGTCAGATTATGCTATACTCCAGCCCCACTATAGTACCTTTTATTTCAGTGCTGATGGAGGTTGGGGACTCCCAATTGGTATTTGGGTAACAGTATGACTCTTTCTGATGGTACATTGCCATCTGGGCCAGTAGTTCTATGCTAGGCCCCAAGGTTATATTGCTGTTTGGGCCCTGTATGCCCCAAATTACCTGGGTCATCCTGATGGTGCTCAGAGGCCCTCTAGCATCACACCTGCATTGCTTGGAACCTTGAAGGGCTGCACCCAGCACTGCTTAGGGGACTATGTTGTACCCAAGACTGAACTGGACTCGGATGCGTATAAGACATGCACCTCATTCCCTGTACTATCTCTGCAGCTCCTCTTATAGTACCTTTTTAACTTAAGATGATTTTTTTAGTTTTCTTAGTCTGCTCAACTGATTGTATGCATAAGTGGTATAAATTCTAAATCTTTCTATTTTGCATGTACAGAATAAGAAGCTTATAGATATAGAAGCACTCATGAACAATAATTTGATAACTGCAATTGAAATGAGCACACTCTCAGAAGTAAGTGGAATATATTGTTGTGTACTTTTTTTAGCATTGTTGAGGATATCTCAGTTAATTGCACTGAAGTTAAATATTTATCTTAAATTTATAAAAAACAATAATTTTAACTGAATAACAGCACATTAATATTTGGCATAATTGGTTGTTGAAATAATTATATAAAAATTAGATTTTAACTAAAAGTAGCACAGAATCATACAGCTCTGCAAAACAGAATGGCCCCTGAGTAGATTCAAAAGTATATAAAACAGTAGTATAGGGGTCAGAGTAAAGAGTTTGTCTTTTATGTGGCATACCTGGGTTCAATCCCTGGTATCTTTTTTTTTTTTATTAGTAAAACACCATGAGGTAGAGTTGTAGACTTACAAATTTTTGTGCTTGGCTTTCAGTTATACAATGATCGAGTACCCATCCCTCCACCAGTGCCCATTCTCCACCACCACTAATCCCAGTATCCCTCCCATCCCCCCATCCCACCTTGCCTCTGTGGCAGGGCACTCCCTTTTGTTCTCTCTCTCCTTTTGGGTGCTGTGGTTTGCAAAAGAGGCATTGAGTGGCAATCATGTTCGGTCTATAGTCTACTTTCAGCATGCATCTCCCATCCTGAGCGGATCTTCCCAACACCCTTTATTTGGTGGTCCCTTCTTTATCTGTGCTGCCTTTACCCCTAGAGTATGCGGCTGGCCTCCAAGTCATGGAATAAACCTCCTGGTATTTATCTCAGCTACTCTTGAATCGCTGGTATCTTTTATGATCTCCTGAGCACTGCTGGGTATAGTCCCAAAACCAAAATTAATAATAAGATTGCAGTTAAAATTTAGTATCTTAGATTAGATACAAATTTGCAATATTGCAAAAAAGGATACTTTTTTGTAAATGAAAATAATAATTTCTCAGTTCAACACCTTGAATCTTAGTGTGCTCATATACATGGCACATATAGTAGTAGTATATCTACACAAAATTATTGTAAGAATTAAATGTAACTAGTGTATTCTAAAAATAATAAACATGCAATAAATTATAGCTGTTACTTTTATTATATGTATATTTTCCTGCGCTTTAAATTCTTCTGAAAGTTTTTAAATTATTTACAAGGCTCTTAAATATATAATGTTTGTGGTAAGATGATAGAACTCTTTCAATTTGTATGGTTTGAAATAGTAGCTTTGAAATTTTATGAAAACTAAAGACTTGGCATCTTACACTGTAACACAAAATCCACATTTGTTTAAAGAAAGGATTTGTGGAAATGAGAATAATATTCACAGAAGTTGTAGCTCATAGCATATACATGTGATACCCAGAAAATAATGTTCACAGAAGCTGTAGCTCATAGCATATACATGTGATACCCAGGTAAACCAGCGAGCAGAGCTGTACTAAATACATTTAATGTTCTCTATATACATTTAACCTTCTCTATATCAGGGAGTAAATTCTGCTTTGCTCATCAGCCTATCAGACAGAATCAGTTGCTCAGCATAAATTACCAAGACTAGAGTCAGGTCTAGAGTCAGGAGAGAGTAGAATCAGTAGACAAACTGGCTTGGATAGTAAAAGAAAGAAGTTAATTGACCAGATGAGGAAGCTGGGATCAACTCACTCATCTTAAAGAACTTTGCGGGAACAGATAGCCCTAAAAATTACTTGCTTATATGTTATCTCAAGTTTTATCCCTCCTTCAATTCTTTAAAATTTAAATCTAAATTTTAAAAATTCTTTAAAATTTAAATCTAAATTTTAAAAATTCTTTAAAATTTAAAATTTAAATGTTATTTAGGGACAATAACATGATTCCTTAATGATTTTTTTTCTGGCACACCCAATAATTCTCAGGGCTTACTCCTGGGTCTGTACTCAGAGATCACTCCTGGTGGATTTAGGGGACAATATAGGGAGCCAAGGATCAGCTGCTGCAAGGCAATGACCCTGCCTTCTATGCTATCTCAGCCCGCCCCTATTCCTTTTATGTGCTTCTTTTTAGAAAAGTCAGGAGGGCTGAGGGCAGCATCTGGAAAAACTGAAAAGAGTAAGTGTATGCAGAACAAGAGAATGAGAGACAGTGTCTAAATTGGATGCCCATTTTCTTGAACTTTCTCTGTTTTTAGCTAAATAACTTTTGCAAATCAAGTTTCATGATTCTGTTTCCTTTTAGTTGTTAAGAGGGAGTTTGATAATATATACATTTGGTTCCAATATTAGAATAATATGTTTTAAAGTATAGAATGAGGTCTGTTGTTATTTTTCATTTGTTTCCAATTACTTTTACTTCTCTTCTTCTCATAGAAGTAGAAAAACAAACAAAAGCATATAAAATGTAAAGGTTTTTTTTCTTATAAATATAGCATACTAATTATTCTCTGCCTTTAAAAATTTAACACATTTTGAGGCTCTTTCCATATCACCATGGGCATGCTTCTTCATTCTTTTTTTACACTGCTTAGGATATATCTAGAATGGGCCTTCTAGTCTAACTGGGCTCCTCTTATTGGACAGTTCTTTTACTTTTTGATGTTGACATGGCATTTTTATTGCCTCATTAATTTTTTTCACCCATACAAATTATTTCCATCAGGATATACAAACAAAAAAAAGTCACTTGTCTTTAAAAGAAAAACAAAAATTCGTACCTAATTTTTTTTTCTATTGTTATTTATTTATTTTTTTTCCCCTTTATTTTATTTTATTTTTTTTAAAGTTGTAGATTTACAATTTTTTGTGCTTTGGTTTCAATTATACAATGATCAGATACCCATCCCTCCACCAGTGCCCATTTTCCACCACCATGGATAATATCCCTCCCACCCCCATCCCCCCATCCCCCCTGTCTCTGTGGCAGGGCAATCCCCTGTGTTCTCTCTCTCCTTTTGGGTGTTGTGGTCTGCAAAAGAGGCATTGAGTGGCAAACATGTTCAGTCCATAGTCTACTTTCGACATGCATCTCCCCTCCTGGGAGGATCCTCCAAACATCCTTTATTTGGTGCTCCCTTCTCTATCTGAACTGCCCTTTCCTCTAGGATACCCGGCTGGCCTCTAAGTTATGGAGTAATCCTCCTGGTGCTGATCTCAGCTATTCTTGGGTATTAATCTCATATTTTGTTACTTTATATCCCCCAGATGAATGCAATCTTTCTATGTCTATCCCTCTCTTTCTGACTCATTTCGCTTAGCATGATACTTTCCATATTGTCGTACCTAATTTTTAACTCCTACTTCCAGTCCTTTTTCTCCTTTTCTTCGAGCAATATATTTTAAAAGCGTTGTTCATATTTAATTTCTTTTTTGTTCAATGTTTTTTTGTTTGTTTTTGCTTTCGGGCTACACCTGTCTGTGCTCAGCTTACTTCTGGCTCTGTACTTAGGGATCATTCCTGGCAATGCTCAGGGGATCATATGCAGTGGGATGGAACTGATGCCAAGGATCAAAATGGGGTTAGCCACATGCGAGGCATGGATTGTTACTCCTGTACTATCTCTGGCTGCTCCAGTTTCTCTTGAAACCTACCTGTGGGATTTTTTTTCTACCATGGCACTAAAACAGCTCTTCTGAAAATTGATATTCATGTTGTCAAAGCCTTTAGAAATATATTTCATGGTCCTTACATTAACCTCCATATGATTATTTTAGGATATTATACTCTCCTAGGGCAGAAGCAATAGCACAACAGTAGGGCGTTTGCCTTGCATGCAACCAGCCCGGCTGATCTGGGTTCGATTTCTCTGCCCCTCTCGGAGAGCCCGGCAAGCTACCGAGTGTATCTCGCCTACACGGCAAAGCCTGGCAAAGCTACCCGTGACGTATTAGATATGCCAAACACAATAACAAGTGTCACAATGGAAACGTTACTGGGCCTGCTCGAGCAAATCGGTGAACAACAGGAGGACAGCGCTACAGTGCTACACTCTCCTAAGATTTTTTCTTTCTCACTGTTCTTTTTCAGTTTGTTTGCTGGTTTTTCTTTATTTTCCTGGCTGCTAAATTTTAGGTAACCAATGGGGTGGGGTAAGAGATATAGTAAAGGAATAAGGTGCTTGCCTTACTTCTGATCCTGTTTGGATCAGTATGTTGCCGATCATGATTTGCTTTCCAGCACCCCATATGGTCCCCTAAGCACTGCCAGAAGAGATCCCTGAGTACAGTCTGGAATAATCCCTGAGCATAACCATTGTGGCCAAAATAAAAATAAATACATAAATTTTAGGTACTCAAGGACTCAGTTCTGGACTTACCTCTTCTGCCTATACTTGTTTCCCTAGATTATTTTATCTACATTTATGCTTGTAATTACTGGTAAATGAAAATATAAATAAAAATTTTACAATAAAAATCACCTAGACTTTTTAAAACATTTTAAACAACCACTTAAATTATACTTTATAAAATCCAATAATATATTACTTAATGCATATGTAGTCAAGAGTATATCTGCATATATATGAAGAGATATTATGTATGGTTGACTATACACGTCTATGTTTATTCCATGCATAGATGACCATTTGGAAGGTTTATTTACCAAAATATTAGTAATAATTATTTCTGTGTGGCCTACGTGCAGATGGTTTGTGACTATCTTGTCATCATATTCTTATTCAAGTATTAAATTCTAATTTAAGAATTGTTCTATTTCTATTGATATCTTTGTATAATTTGATGAATTTGATGCTCTAATAGCAAATGTTTAATGACTTTAGAAGTTTTGCTTTTTATTTTCTTCTTTTCAAAACCAGTTCCATCAGAATTCCCTTCTCCTGCCCACTAGCAAGAAGAAACGTAGTAGTAAACAGTGCAAGTTGATACATCCATTTGCAAGGTAATTACTTTAAAACTTGGTTAAATAATGACTTAAACAGTTCTACCTGAATTGAACTTTGAATGGTTTGATTTGATCTGCTTCCTTTGAGATATAGAAAGGTACTCAAAAATAAACAATGAAATGCTTGTTAACATCATGGCAGTAAAAGAAACCAGCAGTACTCAGGGCTATACGTACTCCTGTGATCACTCCTGGTGGTGCTCTTGGGACTAGATAGGTTTCTGGGGATTGAACCTGGGTTGGACGCATACAAGGCAAGACCCTACTTACTGTACTATTGTTCTGGTCCCCTGTTGTAAATATTTTTAAAATATGTTTCTTTAGATTAGAAGCTAATCTTTTAAATCCTTTTCGGTTGCATTTTTTTCTTATTTTGTTTTTTCTTTCAGTTTTTAATTTTTATTATTAAACTTAATTGAAATAGTTTACATGATTTATTTTTGGTTTCTAAAAAGTCTTTTGAAGTTATTCTTCTGTAAATACTCGTTCAGCAACTTTTTAATTTTTTAACATGCCACTATTTTTGATAAGACTTATTATTCAACTCAAAACACTTCCTTCTTTCTATTCTGATACATTCTTTGGTCCACAGATCATTTACAAATATTTAATTTCTTGGCAGCTGGGTATTCTAGTACTTATTTGTTAATTTACACTTTAATTTCATTGTAGTTTCAGAATATATTCAAATGGCAGTTTTTAAAAATTTATTGAGACATGCATTAGAATATAATCTGGTCGGATTTAGCTAATATTTTTAGCATATGTGATTGCAGGATAACATTGGTTTGTCCTTTTTTCCCTTGCTTCAGGGAGCTGAGGTATATCGGGTTATACCCATCACAGTGCTCCCGAGTCACTCACAGTCCATTGCTTATCTGTAACCTCTTTCTTTGTGCTCTGCTTCCCCAACCGGTCTATCAACATTTCCCCCTAATCAGACTCTGTTAACTTATAAGGTCAGATCCTTCTAAGGACACTGGACTTGTATTGACAAGTGGAATATTGCTTTTTCTCCTTCTCTTATGTCCTTTTGCTTAGTTTACTTTAAAGCAACGTCCTTTTTGTATATAGATACAGGAAGACAGTTTACACTATGCTTTTGTAACTTGTAAGTTAACTGACTCTTAATAATCACTTCTGGGCATCTGTTTTCTCAACGTTAGCCTAAGTTGCCCTTAGTTCCTAGCACCCCAAAAACAGGGTCCCGACGAGGGACTGGATCAACCCAGATCAAGCTGTGAGCTACCTTGGCATCAAAATGGGCCAGGAAAAGGGCCACAATACTTAACTATAAGAGCATGATCATGGGCAAATTTTGTCATGATCCAAAAAGTAACGACTGGAGCAGGACCCTGCTAGGGTTAAGAAATACCAATCTGACCTGAGCACTGTAATCTGAGATCTATAGCGAGAGGCCTCCAGGAGAGTCATCCTATAAGCTTAATATACCTCTTACCGTGTCCATACAAAATGACTAATATTATGAATGTTTATATGTTTGTTGGACTAACGAAAGGAGAAACACACCCATAGATGGAATTTTGCTCTTGGGTGGGTCGTCCTGCTGAATGAGAGTTTGTTCTAGAAGAAGCTTCCCCTGAGGGAAGGTCTTTACCTCTGTTGGTTGATTGTATGACCACACCTATGTGTAAATTATTACTCCAACCCCTCATGATTTGGGATTTAACTAAGGTTGTAAGAGTGGTCAGAGGAAAATCAAAGGAGATCTGGGAGAACTGGGCAATCCAGAAGGAGAAGTATGAAGGAACAGGATCCAAGAGGAGGATAAAGAGTATTGGGGAAGGGCAGATCCGGAGGTGGAAGAGAATGGAGATGGGAATGGAATAAATTGCCACTGACACCAACCAGCCTGGCCCTTGTTCCGTCCTTCATCTGCCCATTGCCATCGGCTGCCCTAGGGTGGGGGAGGTAGCAGAGACCACCAAACATAGGGAGGGAGGGAAGAAGGGAAGGGGGGAGGGGAGAGAGAGAGAGGGGAGGGGAAGAGAGAAGAGAGAGCCGCCTCGGCCCATCGTAATTTATTTTTTAATACAGAGTTGATATTTATTATGCAGATCCTAATATCTTTCCTGCTTCTTGATAGTGTCTCCTAATAGCACTTAATAGACTTGCCTTAAAAATCTACTACTCTCATTGTTGGTTTATCTCTTTCTTTAGTTCAGCCAACTTTCAGGGCTTTGGGGGGCCCACACCCTTTATTCCCTGGATCCATATGGGAGTTATTCTTATGAACCCTTCATGTAGAATATACACTCTAGCCCTTTGAGCCATCTCTCCAACCTCTTTTGCTTTATATATTTTAAAGTTCTTATTAGATGCATATGAAGTTAGAGTTGATTTGTTTTCCTGATTTTATGAATATGAAATGTTTCTAGAAGTAATTGCTACTTTAAATTCTGCTTGTATGGTATAACATTTTCATGGTGTGACTTTCTATAAGTTTGCTTTCTAATTTTGTTGTATTTTTAAAATCTGATCTTTCATTTTTACCCTCTTCGCTTCACTCTTTGTTGCTTGCCATGACTGAGAGTCATCACACACTTCACTGTGGTGCTTGCCTCGGGGTGCTCTGATCATGGTGTCATACACTCTGCTGAGGTAGAATTGCTCTCCTTTTGTTGCTTGCGCATGTTTGCTGGGGGTCCTACTCTTCAGTTTGCTTATACATGTTATGTGTTGTGATGCTCACTTGCAGTGGCTGTAGTGCTTGCCCAGGTGCAGGTGGCACTCTTATCCATGGTGCTTGCACATCTTTTTAGTTATACTCACACACACCCTGAAATGGCTGAAAGGAAAATCACTTGTGGCTTCTGGGAACATATCAGCAGGGATACCAATATCAGTTTTTGTATAAAACAGCACCAGGGATTGAATTCAACTTGTAAGACAGATCACTGAATCACTTCCTGGATTCCTTTTGTTATATGTTAAATGTATATAAGGTCATTTTTTAGTGTAATATCTCTTACCAAGTTCACATCAGTGTGTGGCATCCGTAACTCACACTTCGATGCAGCTTGCTAATCAGAATGTTTAGTATATTTGCATTTTATATAATTTCTTATAAAGTTGGATTTGTATCTGCAATCTAGTTAAATTTTCTTTGAGCCACCTGTTTGATGTTTTTTCTCTCCTTTATTTCTTTTAAAACACATATTTTTTATTTAGCATTTCTTGATTATTAAATTATTGTCTTCAGATAATCTTTTATGATTACTTAATGATAACAACACCCATTCATTTTTTAATTCTTAAATCCAAGTGATTACTACATTCTCAGTTATGCTAGCACCTTGAATACTTTAACTCCATATTTCTGTATCCAGACTTTATTCTCTTGCTATATATTTTTATTAAGTATGTTTTAATTCCCACAAATTAATATTTTTTGTATTGTCAATATTATCTTCTACTTTCTTATTTTCAGAGTTTCCTGCACTTTTTAAGTTGTATGATCATTATAAACAACATACAAACATTTACTATAGTAAGAATTTCTAAGTGTTTTTAAACTTAATACTAATGACCCAGCCAGTGATTATGTCAGTTATCTCCTTTGTGGCACAGGGTTAGTGGGAATTAGAAACATTACCTGTTTTCTCTTAAGTTCTGTGTTGTTAGAAGCTACCTGTTCTCTTCTTATAGTTGTTTTTATGCAACACAAAATGGAATCTACATAATTTATTTTTAGATCTTGAATAAATATATGAACTATAGGAAGAACTATCTATGTGATTTTTCTCAACCATTTATATAGTATAAAATTTCTGCTTGGCTTTAGGGTTCCATTAACTTCAAATGATGATGATGATGATGATGATAATGACAATGACATTAAAAAGAAAATGCAACATGACATTAATGTTATATCAAAGACATCATCTGATACTTCATCTTCAGTATCAACAAGACAAATTTTACCTACACAGCATAACTTGGAATTATCATTTCTTAAAGAAAATAATATGGATGGCTTAGGCGACTCAGAACATATTTCTTCTGTAATTGATAGACTTCCCAAAGGTGAGTTTCTTTTTAAAAAATTCATGTTTGAGTATTAATATTAGTTATTAGATTTTCTTCTTGAGGATAGCGATATATAAAACAGTGAATAAGTTAGATCTCTGTGTTACAGAGTTGTAGTTTTGCTAATTTCTACCTTAAAATTACTGGTGAAAAATTTTATTTAAAAGTAAATATGTGGGGCTGGAGCAATAGCACAGCGGATAGGGCGTTTGCCTTGCACTCGGGCAACCCGGGTTCGATTCCCAGCATCCCATATGGTCCCCTGAGCACCGACAGGAGTGATTTCTGAGTGCAGAGCCAGGAGTAACCCCTGTGCATCGCCGGGTGTGACCCAAAAAGAAAAAAAAAAGTAAATATGTGACAAATGTCAAGTCCATGGCACTGAAGAAAGTAATATTTAGAAATGAGCTGGTCTGTAATGCTCAAAAGGAGAGAGAGAAAAAAGGAAAGTGTCTGCCATAGACTCTGGGGGAGGGGGGTAACTGGGGACATTGTTGGTGGGAAATGTACACTGGTGGAGGGATGGGTGTTGGAACATTGTATGACTGAAACCTGTATCTTTTTTAACTATCTCACAGTGATTCAATTAAAAAATATAATAAGGAAAGGAATGAGCTGGTAATTTCCTTAGTAATTTAGCTTATGAAGGATGCCATGTACTTATTTAATTTCACAAATGTAAGAATTGGTGACTATGTTGAGATCATAATTAATGAAAAATCAAATGCAACCTAGGTAATGGGTAACCAAGGGAAAATGACAGCACCTCTGTTTTTTTGAATTGGCTGGGATTCTTTGATTTAAATTGCTATTAATAATGCTTTGTCATAAGCATAATCCCAACATCACACATGAACCACCTCACTCCCTCAAAACTCCCCCAAATTTCTTCACTTTTGGCACCACCCCTAACTCAGTTTTATGGATCAGTTCTCCTGCTGTTGCCTTCAGCCCTTTGTTACTTCCTTGCAGTGTATCTTTTAAGTCCCTCATGTTAGAGAGATCCTTCAATATTCCGTTCTTTCTGACTGGCTTCACTCAGCGTGATATCCTCTAATTGCATCCATGTTCATACAAATTGCATGACTTTGTTCTTTCTTAAAACTGCATAGTATTCCATTATGTATATACAGCTTCTTGATACATTCATTTATAATTTGGTATTTGGGTCATTCTTACATCTTGGCTTTATTTATTTATTTTGGGTTTTTGAGTCACATCTCACCAATGCATCGGGCTTACTCCTGACTTTGTACTCAGAAATTACTCCTGGCAGAGCTCAGGGGACCATATGGGATGCTGGGAGTCAAACCTAGGTTGGCCTGTGCAAGGCAAACACACCCTACCCGCTGTACTGTAGCTCTAGCCCCATCTTGGCTTTTGTACTAGACGTTTGTCTTTTTATTACAGGGTATTTAAAATAATAATTATCTGCTGCAGTCTGGTTTTTGTGTTTGTTAAAAGACTTTCAAACTGGGGTTGAACCATGGCAATACTGAATTAAGAATTTGAATTTTTTCTTTCAAACATGTATGTGCTGCATATGTGAATATATATTTACATATATACATGTGTGCATTAATTATATGATTTTTATCGACTTTAACTGCTTACTGATAACCTTTTGATAGTAATCCTTGCCAAGAGTTATCACTGTTATTTATTATCCTCTTCTTACTCTAGAAATATTTTGTTAATGAATCTACTCTTGACTATATTCTACTTTATTGTTCAGGCCAGTGCAGAATGAATTCTTTGTATATATTTTCTACAGATACCCATGTGAAATGTGACTTATAATACTTCAGTCATTTCTACTTCATTTAAAGTAAATTCCTTGTTATGCTTATTTCTGAATTTTTTTCTTTACTTTATAGAAAATCATCCCCATTCAGACCAAAATCTCAAGAGTTCTCTAATGGATGAGATGAAAAATCCCCAGTCCACTGGTGATAGAAAAGAAAAAATACCTGTTAGTAAGATAACTACAAGGAAAAAACGTTTATCTTCTTGGGAATCAAATAATCCTCCTGCACACAGTCCCTGTGTGGCAAATGTAGATGAACAACAGATTTCAAACCCAGAATTAGACTGTAATAATGAGATAAATGATATCAATGAGTTTACTGTAAAAAAGCAAAAAAATTCACATTGTTTTCGTGACTCCTCTTCTCAGCCTGCAAATGAACCTGCTACAGAGTCCATGAGTCAGATTCAGGCTTCTAATAACTTTCTGTTGCAGAAAACTGTGTATGATGGTGACATGGATTTAACTGCTAGTGAAGTAAGTAAAATTGTCACAATTTCAACAGGCACTAAAAATGCAAATAATAACAAACTAAATGATTGTAAAACTAAAACTTTCAGAAAGGTGAAATATTCAAGTTCTGGAAAAAAGAGAGAAAAATCGAAAAGTAAATTGAAAAATGCAGATGTGGAAACTGAAGAAATGACTGAAAATGAACTAGAAAGAAAAACAATTTTCCTGGATTGCAAAGGGGATACAGAAGAGATGGGTTTTATTTCCAGCACTGAACAGCCAACACAGTTGTATATGCAGAACAAAATATCCCTTACTAATGATTTTGATCCAGATGACAGAGAAAGTACACAGTATAATGAAAAGAAGAAAAAATTACATGTAACCAATGAGCAAGAAGAAACATACTCTCTTATCCAAAACTCAGGCAAATTCCAACAGGAAACTAAATGTGGTATGATTCAGAGTTCTGTATCTTGCAATAAAAGAAAAGCTTCTAGACAAACTATTATAATTCGGAAGTTTGAAAAGGGTGACCAGTTTCTAAGTCAAAAGGATAAAGAAATCATTCCTGAAAATCTGGAAAATATAACTGAATTTCAAACAGCTGATCATACCACCAAAGATAATGGAAGTTTATGTGATTATGAGACCCAAAATATATTGGATTTGAAAAAGCATATCACTGATAACCAGTCTACTCAGCAAAATGAATTAAAAATTAGTAAGAAGCTCAGACAGAAAAGAAATCGGAAGACAGAAATAATTTCTGAAGCCAACCAAATAAATGGAGATGATAGTCAAGATATTTGTGGCCAAGAAAAAGGTAACTTTTTCCCTCTCCAAACCCAAGAGAGTAAAGAAACCATCTCTGACAATCTAGAAGTTTATTTAGTAAATGTGTTTCAAAGTCCTGCTATTTCCACTATCAAAAGTGGAAAACTGTGTGACCCTGTGGCCCAGAATTTGTTAGGTTTGCCCAAGCAGATCACCGATGTGTGCCTTGTTCAGCAAAATAAAATGAAAGTTAATAAGTCTAAGCAGAAAATAAATCGGAAAACAGAAATAATTTCTGTAGCGAACCACATAAGTGGAGGTGTTGATCAAGATGTTCATGGCCAAGAAAAGGGTAACTTTTTTTCTCTCCAAACCCAAGAGAATAAAGAAACCATCTCTGACAATCTAGAGGTTTATTCAACAAATATGTTTCAAAGTCCTGCTATTTCCACTAGCAAAAATGGAAAACTATGTAATTCTATAGACCAGAATTTGTTAGCTTTGCCCAAGCAGATCACCGATGTGTGCCTTGTTCAACAAAATAAAATGCAAGTTAATAAGTCTAAGCAGAAAATAAATCGGAAAACAGAAATAATTTCTGAAGCGATTCATCAAGATAGTGACAAAAATGTATGTTACCCAGAAAAGGAAAGCAATCATTTATTGCTAAAGGATACTGAAATTTCTCAAAACCTAGAAGATCCTCTTGAGTTTCAAATATCTGTTCTTTCTACCACAAATAGTAAAAGCCTTTGTAAGAGTCAAAATGTTTGTGAGATGAAAAAACAAATCCATGATCCGCAATCTGCTTGTCAAAACAGGTCAAAAATAGATGAGAAGCTTAAGCAAACCTTGTATCAAAAGGCAGAAATCTTGAAAAATAGTCAAATAAATGAGAATATTGACAAAGACACGTATAATTCAGAAAGGGGTAACTTGTTTTCTCTAACTCAGAAACATAAAAACATCATTCCTAAAAACTTGGAAGACTTCAATGAGATTGAAAATGCTGATGGTTTTACCAGAGGTAATGAGAATCTCTCTGATTTTGAGGCTGTAAAAAAGCATGTAACTGATAAAACACCTTTGAAACAAAATAAGCGAAAAATAAATAAGCAAAGGCAGAAAGTAAGTCAGAAAAGGAAAATTACTTTTGTAATGAGCCAAGTACATGAGGATAATATTAAAGATATTCATAACCAAGAAAACTGTTCAAGAAATCTTGATTTTACAATAAATAAATCCAAACAAAGACTTGAATGTCAAGATATTATTGGTCAATATGATATGGAAATCAACAGTAATGAAAAGGAAAAATTTTCTATTTCAAATTCCTACAAACGAGATGAAAAGCATGAGAAAGAATCACTAGACAAAGCCATGATTATTCTATCAAAAGGTGAAAACAAAGCAATTTTGCACTTAAAAGATTCTTTACAAACATTTGCTTCAGAATCAGGCTTAAGACATAATTCTAAAGAAGCAGACTGTGATTCTGGAAACCAAATGAAACCACGTAAGAGTCAAAAACGAAGAACTAAAACTCTGAATAAAAGTGGTAGTCCCTTTGTGGAAATGATAAATGAAGAAGAGTGTCAAGTCCAAACACAAAATAAAATGACATCCAAATCAAGGAAAAGAAAGAATTTAATAAGATCTTCTGGTAGTCAGGAAGTAATGGAGATAATATCTGACACCATTCAGGGGATACCAGTTGAATCTAAACAAACTAATAAGGAAAAATCTTTGGAAAATGAGGAAATAGTCAAATTAAAACCAGACTTTTACACAAAGATGTTTAAGTCTTTATCTCAGATATATTCACCTAGCGTACAAGATTCTTCCTTTAACAGCGCTCATGAAGATTCAATGCCTGTGAGTGTTTATTCTAAAGAAAATTTAGTCCTGAAGAGCTCTCAAATCTTTCAAGCAAATGATGATATACAAGAGAAGATGAAAGGGATGAACATAGAAGTCAACCAGAGAACAAAAATATCAGGAGTAGGTAGGTTAATACCTGAATTGGTTGAGTTTAAAAAATGTATTTTGGGGCCAGAGGGGTATTACAACTGGTAGGTTGCTTACCTTGCCTGGGGCCATTCCAGATTCAAACCCTGGCATCCCATGTGGTTCCCAGAGCCCACCAGGAGTGACTCCTGAGTTCATAGCCAGAAATATGCTCCCCCTCTCACTACCCAAAGTGGATTTTTCTTTTTCAATTAAGCAGTAAAATATTTCCTGCTATAACATATATATATATATATATATATATACATATATATATTTAATTCTTTTTTGGGGGGAGGGGCGGGCTGTTGGGTCACACCCAGCGATTCTCAGGCTCTGTAGGCTAACTACTAACTCCTGTAGGCTGAGTATCACAGGTCCTTCTGAACACACTTGGGAGACCCTCTCCCCTGCCAAAAACAACTGATTTGACTTTTGTCACAGAATTATCTGATAATGGCATCAGGTACATTTTAAAAATTCCATCTGTTTACATGAAATTAAGTGTTTTAAATGCATAATAATGAATTGCCCCCATTTGATTTTATCAAAGATAATTGCAAATTTTGCACTAGCAGGACTCTTCCCCAACAGTATATATTTAATGTGACCAAAGCATTAGTCTAGGTGTTTTGTAAGCTTAAATAGTAAGCAATACCAAATCCTTCTCCTCAGAATACTTGTATATGTGCAAGTAGCATGAAATACAGTAAATATTTCAATGGATTTACACTATTATGCTGAGAAAGGGAAGGGTGGGTAATTTTGACTAGAGGATCCTGCAAATGAATCATGAAGTAGGTTTATTTCAGGCCCTAAAGAATTTTTATCATTTGTGCTTTCATTTAACCTCTATCCCCTTTATTAAACTAACACTTTCACTGCAGAAAGTCAAAAGTAAAACATCAGAAAATAGCAGAAAAAATAATCCAGATCTTTCCCTGTGAATTTGGAAGAACTACAATCAGTATTTCAACATTTGCATGCAGACTTGAATTTTTAAATAGTCTTTAAATGATACTATATAAAACTTTGTTCATCCCACTATTTTCCTTATTACTGTTTAATATTTTGAAACACCAGAGATTTCCATATCAATTAAATTTTTCTACTGAGGATCAGAGAGATAGTTCAACAGGCCAAGTGTGTGCTTTGCATGCAGTATATATATATGTGTGTGTTTGATTCCTGACATCATATAGCTTTCCTGAGCACAAAACCCCGAGCACACAGCTTAGAGTAGTTGAGCATTACCAGGTATAGTCCAAAATAACCTTTTTTCCTACTGAAAGCCCAATATTTCACAGGATGTATAGAATCCTAGATTTTGATGAAAAAGACTAATCCAGGTAAAAGGATTATAAAGCAAGCTGTTTAGATGGATAAGACTATTCAAGATTAAATTATAAAGCAAAACTAAAGGTTTTTTTAATATTTACATTTTTAACTTTAAACACCATGGTACTTTATTTAAACACCATGGTTTATGAAGTTGTTCATAACACAGTTGTTATAGGCATTAAATGTTCCAACACCAATCCCACCTCCAAAGTGATCTTCCCTCCAACATGTTCATGTTCTCCCAACCACCCCCCGCCCGTGCCTGCCCCCTTAGTAGTCATAAATTAATTCATATTACTTGTTACAACTGAATGGCTAATAAAATTACCCCAAAAAATTACAGTATAAGAAAATTTGTGAAAATTGTTGTATCCCACTATAGGTTCATTAAGTCTTTGAAGGTTTTACTGCTTATTTTCAATTGAGCATTCTGTGTCACTACTTTTGCTTATTGAGCTTAGTTGGCTTCTATGTTACTTTTCCATCTAATTTGGTGTGCTCCTAGCGGATATCAGGATTATGGAATTTGGAGGATCTGTAGAGCTGGGCCAGTGGATGAGTTTACATGGCAGCTGTGAATGTGGCTTCCAGGACTTCTGGAAGTATGATGGGGGCGGGGGTGGGGGTGGGGATAGTGGGAGGTTGCCCATTCCCACTCTGAGAAGACCCCATAGTTCTCAGCCTGAAAACTGATACACCTGGCTGGAATTTTTGTTGGTTTGGTGTCAATGTAAAGATTATTTGAGAGGCAGTAGCATTCAGCCATTGGCATGGTGGCAGCTGTGGTTGTGGGGTGCGGCTGCCAGGGCTTCAGCAGGACAGGACCCGGCCTGTCTACCTCCTGAGCGCACCCCAGCGTTTTCAGTAGGGAAACTAGTGTACTTACAAATTTTAGCAGCTTAGTTTGCCTCTCTAGATTTAGTTGTGAATCTGTAAAGCTGGGCCAACAAATGAGTTTACATGATGGATGCTGCAAGTTGTGGGCATACAGTTTTAGAATTGTAGATGATTAGTTAGACTTACAAGCAGTCTTTCTTCTCACTTCTATTGCCTTTCTCAGATTATGACATCCTTGTCAAAATTGAGTGAATATATAGTAATTTTTTTGGTTTGCTCTCTGCTTCTTTTCATTTGAGCCTTCTGTGTTGGACTACAGGGAATTTTACTGATAAGTGATTTCAAAGGAAAAATATTGTAGATCACTTTGAAACAAACTACCAATTTGTTTTAAATTTTAAGTCTTTTTATATTATTGGAAAAAATTGAAACTGGTTTACAAATATTTTCAGTATTATAATACCTAAAGTTAAAACTTTAGTTATATATTTTTATAATATTTATTTTTAGTTTTAATTTTAAATATTTAAAATTAATTTAAAAATTCAAATATTTTAATTAATTACTTAAATTTTAAAGTCTTAAATATTAAAACTTTAAATATTTAGTTAAAAAATTTAATAGATATTTTTAAATGTTCTAAGATTTTAGATATTCTAAGTTTTTGTTTAATTTGGGGGCCATACCCAGTGGTATTCAGGAATTACTCCTGGCTCAGTAGTCAGGAATCATTTCTGGCAGGGCTCAGGGAACCATATGGCTTCCAGGGATTGAACCCCTGGTGATCATGTGCAAGCCAAATGTTTTACTTGCTGTCTTCTCTGATCCAAAACTTAATTCTAAGTTTTAAAATTTGCTGCAAGTAATTTGCAATATGCTTATTTTTTACTAATTTTTGTGAAAATTATATTGTTTTTAAGGTGATCGAATACTACAGGACTTGACAAATACCAATTTTGTTTCAAATAACACTGATAAACCTGAAAATAAGTCAGATCTATCAACAGAGCTGCCAAGCCGAAAAAGAAGGTGTATACCTCTCTGTTTAAAAGAACCAAGTCTCAGAGAGTAAGTACTGCAGTAATATTGTAATGATTTCAGCATACTATTGTTAATTACATGTGTAAAAACTTCCTGCTGCATCAGTATTTGGATACATTTGGATACTGATTCTGTTGAACATTTCTGGTAACATGTAATCATTTCAGCTTAATATAATAAGATTTGAAGAAAACGTTTTATTAAATAAAAAAAAGAGATTCTTTGGGGGAGGTATTGGGATGGAGTGCCAGGGATTAAACCCTGGGCCTCATGCATGCAAGCCAAATAAATGCTCTGCTACTGAATGACACCACTGACTCAGACCTTTAAGTCTTTTTTGTTAACCTGTGATTTGGAAACCACTATTTTCATTTCCATATCTATTGCCCATATTTATTTCCTTGAAGATTTCAGAGGGTTTAAATGTCCTCAAAGAATAACAGTTCTTTTTTGTTTTTTTAAAAACCAGATATATTGCAACAAAGAGAAAGTAACATTAAATATTATTACTTCCATTTATCTGTCTTCAATTCAGCTGTTTCCAATTCTTCGCCATACTTGTTTCATCTGTCTTTGAAATAAATTTTTGGGATGGCTGAAGAGATAGTATAGCAGGCAAGACATTAACTTTGGGTGAGGCCAACTTGGGTATAATCCTTGGCATCACATATGGTCCCCAGTCCCACTAGGATTGATCCCTGAGCAAGAGCCAGGAGTAAGACCTAAGCATCAGTATGCCTGGCCACCCCCTTTCCAAAAAAAAAAAAAGACCCCAATAAAACAAAAAGTATCTTTAGTGTTGGATTACTTAATCCTTTAAACACTTCTCCATGTAGTTATTAGTTCTAAAAAATAAAAACTTCTTAACAAAGCCCTTAGCAAAGCTAGGTAACAATAATCAACTCTAACAATTATTTCTTACTGTCACCGTATAGCAATACCTATTCAATTTTCCTTGATTATTTAAAAAATATTTAAATTCCATTTACATGTGTTTTTTCCCAAATCTTATTTTTTTTACAGAATAAATGAAATAACCTACTTGGAGCACCTGTTCATATTTGGTATTTTCAGAATAGGAAAAATAAGATTCTCTTTGTGCTAGTGCAGTTTTTGCTTCTCTGATTGATGGTTTTGAGAGGTAAATTTAAAACCATAACTACTAGATTTTCAATTTTATAAGGAAAGGTAAGAGAATCAAATTAGGAGGGCTAGTACAGTGTGTTGGTGCCCAGCCATATCATGAAGGTAAGTCCTTGGATGCTGCCCTGCAAGCAGGAAGCAGAACCAGGACCCCACCTTGCAGTAAGTGGGTGATCCTAAGCTTGAGAGTGGGATTGATATGGAAAAGGCAAAACTAACCCTCTATGGCCAGCAAATTCCCGCAGCACAAAGCAGCGGCTTCCCCTTCTCACATACTTCAGACCTAGCTAAACTTTAGATGTAAACATCCTCTCCTATTCATCAAAGACCCCAGGTGTGAGGAGATCATGACCTATGTAATTGACTGTTTTCAGGTGTGAGGAGGTCGTGACCTATGTAATTGACCATATTTTTCTTCTTGTAACTGATTATGTTTTTCTTCCTTTAATTGATTATGTTTAGTTACCTCTGGTTCTTTGTTCTTCCCTTGATGTTGAATTTCATTAGTAATTCTTCCCATGCTGTTGTATTTCATTGGACGTGATTATAATCCAGCAAATAAAAGGAGGCTGAAAAGATTGTTCTCTGCCATAAGATCTGAGCGAGTCTGATTTTCTGTGACCCATAATTTTTTTTTGCCTTCCTTGTCTCAGCGCCTCAGACCGCCTAACCGACTGTTTGTGCAACAACAGCGGGAAGGGAGTTACCTTGTAGGTGGCTGACTTTGGTTCAATCACCAGCACCCCATATGGCTCCCACATCCCTGCCCCGAATGAACCCTAAATTCTTGGCAAAGCCAAAAGTACACCCTTAGTACCACTGGGTGTGGCCCAGAACATAAAAGCATGCAAGCAAGGTGGAAACAGAGGAGGAAGAGGAAGAGGTGGAGATAATAATCAAATTAAAAGTGAAATAAAGAAGGCCAGGGATGTGACTCAAAGGGCCTGGTGTTCAATCTCTGGTACATGTGCCCCAGCAGCACCTGGTGTGGTTCCCCAACAGCCTTTTTTAAAAATGAAATAAAGGACTAAGGACTTGTTAAAAGAGAAAGTAAAGCCAGTTTATTTATAGTTCACATACCAGGCTTTATACATTTATGTGTACAACTTTAGTATCTTAATATATATGTACTAAATCACAAATTTGATATACCAGTTTGTCTGGAATCTTTTTTTTTGGCCACACCCAGTGATGCTTAGGGCTTACTCTATGCACTCAGGAATTAACTCCTAGTGGTACTTGGTGGATCATATCAGATATTGGGTATCGGACCCATGTCAGCTGCATACAAGGCATTCCCCTTTCCCACTGTACTGTTGCTTCAGCCCCTGGAATTTGGTTTTTGTAGCTTTTGGCTACTATGAATAATGCACTGTGAAAGTTTTTATATGTATATTTTTAAATTTCTTTAAAATAGATGTTTAGATGTGGAATTGTTGAATCACACAGTAACTGTTTATTTGAGGAACTACTTTATTCACAAAGCTGTTGTAACATTTTTCCCTCCCTTGGGGGCCACCACTGGCATTATTCTGGGCTTATTCCTTGCTTATTCCATGGAGCAGAGCAAGGAACCATAAGGGGGCCAAGCATTGAATCCCGGTTGACTGCATGCAAGGCAAGCACTCCTACTTATTGTACTATTGCTCCAGCCCCATATTAACTATTCTTATTGCTTGTATTGTGTTGTATTCATTATCTACTGCTACCAACCAATATTACCATGAACTCAGACATCTTAACAAAACAAGAGACATTTATTACCTCCTGGTCTTTGCAGCCAAGAGTCTGATTTCCTTCAGTGCTCGCTTAGTTTCTCACTATACTGTACTCTTACTGTGTCATCCAATCCAATTCTCATCTGGAGACTGCTGGTGGAGAGAACCCACTTCTAAGCTCATATAGATTGCTGGCAGAACTATTTTCTTTATGGTTATAGGACACATTGCTCCAGATTCTTGTTAGAGGCCAGAACTGGTTTTTTAACTCCTTAGAAGCTCCTTTGGCTCCTTGCTATATATAACTCTCAACATGACCACTTTCAAATCAGCTACAGAGGGTCTGTAGAGCAGAATTAGCAAGACAGAGGGGGTTGTTTGTTTTGAGTTTTGATTGTCTTTGTTTTTAATAGAATTCCACTTTTTTTTGTTGTTACACTGTGCAGTATCTGAAAAATCCTATGAAGAATTTTAATGGTATTCTGAGCACAGCAGGAGGCTATGAAGTTTTGGAACATGGGCATGTACTTTTTTTTTAAAAAAAAGTTTTTAATTAAAAAGAAAATAGCTAATAAGGGGTTGGAGAGATAGTACAGCCGGTAGGGCACTTACCTTGCATGCAGCCAATAGGAGTTTGATCCCCAGCATCTCATATGGTCCCTGCGCCCACCAGGAGTGATTTCTGCATGAAGATCCAGGAGTGAACCCTGAGCACCACAACCCAAAAGTTGGTGGGGGATGGGGAGAGGGGAAGGGGTGAAGGGATTTGGCTATTAGAATTCAGGCATATTTTGTGGATTGGGACTTTTTCTATTAAAAATTTCCTCCTTTGTCATGTTACATGAGGATTTGAGAGACAAAGACTTAAAAAGGAAATGTACTATTTTACCTTTCTAATAACTGCCACTCCTACCAGTACCTGTCATGAGGCTGGAGAGATAGCTCAGCAACCGGAGCACATTCTTTACTGCAGAAAGCTTGGCTTTAATTCCAGTACTGTATGGTCCCCCAGAACCTCAAAAACTTATAAAAAGAAGCCAAAAACCAAAAATAAAGGAAAAAAAAGATTAAAAAAGCCAACAACCTTGTGATAACAGAGCTGGAGAGATAATATAGCAGGTAGGGCATTTGCCTTTGGCTGACCTCGGTTGCATCCCATATGCCCCCCCCCCCCCCCAGTACTGCCAGAAGTAGTTCTCTGAGCAAGGATTAACCCCAAAATATCAGCAGGTATGACTCAAAAGCAAAAAATAAAAAGGCTGGGGACCAACAACAGAACCTTATAATGCTTTCATCTTTTCTTATAGCTGAATAAGTATTCCATCGTTTAATGTACCAAAGGCACTGAATTGAGGAATTTTTCTTAAATCTGAGAGGTTTTTTTTTTTTTTTAAATCTGAGAGTTTTAATCCGAAATCAAACCCACATACATTGCTGCTAAAATTTATAACATTTAGAAATTCTGGGCTGGAGCAATAGCACAGTGGATAGGGTGTTTGCCTTGCAAGCGGCCGATCCGAGTTCGATTCCTCCGCCCCTCTCGGAGAGCCCGGCCGACTACTGAGAGTATCTAGCCCACACGGCAAAGCTTGGCAAGCTACCCATGATGTATTAGATATGCCAAAACCAGTAACAACAAGTCTCACAATTTGTTGTGAGACATTACTGGTGCCCACTCAAGCAAATCGATGAACAACAGTAGGACAGTGCTATGGTGCTACAGAAATTCTAGAAAACAGTAAGCTTAAACAGAGGATGTAATGCCCCCTGTTATCTGTCAGAAACAAATGCAAGTATTTTCTAGAAGAACCTTCCTTCATCTGAGTCTTCAACTTATATCGAGGAAAATAAACAGTAACTCACAGGAAAGATAAACATTACAGGGGTCAGAGAAATAGTACAGTAGTAAAGGCGCTTGCCTTGCATGTGGGTAACCCTGATTAGATTCCCTGCATCACATGAAAGTGAAATGTAGTGATATAAAGGGCAAATGTAAATTTAAAAAATATATACACTTTTTTGGAGTACAAAATACAGATAGAAAAGCTGTAAAAGAAACAAGGGAGTGATTTTTGTTTTGTTTTGGGGTCACACCTGGCAATGCTCAGGGGTTACTCCTGGCTTTGCACTCAGGAATCACTCCTGATGGTACTCAGGGGACCAAATGAGATGTTGGGGATTGAATCCAGGTAGGCCATGTGTAAGGCAAACACCCTACCCACTGTACTCTGGCCCAACAAGGAAGTGATTAACACAATTAAGTATAGTTGTATTTCTTGGGGGACGAGAAGAATGTGAACAGAAGGAGCCCACAGGGAACTTGGGAGATACATGTGGTGTTTTATTTCTTAACTTGGGTAGTCAGTACTTAAGCATTTATTGAATTATTTTTAAATAGTGCATTTTAATATGTCAGGTATGCTAAATTTGAAGGTAATAAAATTTGTAAAGTATAAAATATACATCGATTAATATTGTTGTAACTATAAGAGAAGGAGGCACAAGGTGGGAAGTGACCAGCTGTGTACCTGCCAGAGTGTTGCACATATACTTGCACATTTTCATCTGTGTTGCTAGCCAGAGGTCACTTGTACTCAGTAGCAGTCCACTTTCTGGCTATCTTCAGTTATGGTGCTCTCTGGATTATTGGATTATAATAATAATCTGTGTTATAATAATCTGTATTATTATTATAATAATAATCTCATCTGTGTTGCTAGCCAGAGGTCACTTGTACTCAGTAGCAGTCCACTTTCTGGCTATCTTCAGTTATGGTGCTCTCTGGATTATAACCTCCAGGTTAATGAACATCTGGCCATAGTGCAGCAGAAAATCACTTGAAGCATCAACCAGGTCAAAGAACAAAGCTTCCAGAATCAGACTGGGCAAATGGGCACCAAGGATTTGAATTCATGACCATAAACCTGCAAGGCTGGTGCTCTAAGCAGAGCCTGCACTAGTTCTTGAAAATATTAATTTTTCTTAAATCTTCTATTTCTCTTATGGTAGCACTGTAGCACTGCCCTCCCATTGTTCATTGATTTGCTTCAGTGGACCCAGTAATGTCTCTGTTGTGAGATTTCTTGTTACTGTGTTTGGCATACTTGAATATGTCACGGGTAGCTTGCAAGGCTTTGCCGTGCGAATGAGATACTCTTGGTAGCTTGCAGAGCTCTCCAACTGTCCCTCTCCACCGCCTCTCTCAGAGAGCTCAGCAGCTACCGAGAGTATCTCACCTGCACAGCAAAGTCTGGCAAGCTGTCCATGACGTATTCAAATATGCCAAATATGGTAACAAGTCTCACAATAGAGATGTTATTGGGCCCACTAGAGTAAATCAATAAACAACAGGAGGACAGTGCTGCAGTGCTTCTGTTTCTCACTGTCATAGAACATTTCATAGATGGCTAAGACTGAAGTTTAGGAAAACTGCTTTCTGTTGGTTTGGTGCACAAATTTTCTTTGCCATGTTTCATAGCAAAAAGTGTTAGTTTTGGATTATTGTTGTTAATCTTCCCTTTTTTCTACTTTGCAGCAAATTGAGAAGATGAAGTGAATTTTTGGACTCAATTTTTTCTGAATTCTCAAGTTGTAAGACGTCAAAGAGGCATGTAATTAGGAACAATATGATAACATCGGAAGTGAAAAATGTTGGATTTTTACTTTTCTTGGAATATTGACATGCATTCTTGTGTTTAGAGAAATGTGCATAAAATACCTATTTTATAATAGTAAACTTAACATCATTTGGTTATCCTGTAACTTACCTTCCTCCTCCATTAAATTTCTTGCAACTTAACAGACTTTAAACAGTTACTTTTTAACCAAATAAAATGTATCCTAAATACTTTTGCATTGGTTATCTTATATACTTAGCTATCTTGTTTGCTTTTTTTCAACCATTCAACATATGTGAGTATCTGTACAAATTTAAGTCACCTCCTAGCAAGCTTACTCTTAATTTCTTCTATTTTCAGAATTACTTGCTAGGTTCCTTTTTATTTATAACTTCTTTTATGGGCCCGCTCGAGCAAATCGACGATCAACGGGAGGGCCTCTTTTATGTGTAATCTGATGACGTGACAGAGGGTAATACCTTTTAACCCTCCTTTTTTTTATGGGGGTAGCTGGGGTTTGAATCCAGGGTATTTCCTATGGAAGCAAGTGTTCTGCTGTTGGTCTCCATTCCCTGGCTCCTTTCAGGCCCTTTAAATTTTGTTTTTATAACTTTAAAGATCTCCTGCTATTTCAATAATAGAAATTCTGTTCATATTTGAGATCAGTGAACATAAGTTGCTATATTCAAATGACTGGATAGATTCTATTCTGCCTAGTAAAAGAACTTTCTTAGACAATATCTGATAAACCTGCATTTTATATCATTGAAAGGTTAGGTAAGCTTCAGGAAATTCTGGGCAGATTGTCTTAGAACAAAACCTTGAGGAACTAACTGTTGTAGGAATACAGTATCCCTCAGAATTTACTAGTAATATAAGTACTGGTTAAATGTAGGTTAGTTGCCTTTTAAATCCTTAGCTTAATTCTGCCTAATTCTTTTTTTTGGGGGGGGGGGTTGGGGTTCTTTGGCAGTGCTTCAGGGATTATTCCTGGCTTCCACTCAGGAATGAATCCTGTTGGTGCTAGGGGGATCATATAGGGCATCTTGAACCAAACCTGAGCTGACCGTGTGCAAGACAAGCATTCTACCCACTGTATTATCTCTGCCCCCAGTTTAGTAGCCTTATTGTCACTGTCCTCCTGTTGTTTATCGATTTGCTAGAGCGGGCCCAGTAACGTCTCTTGACACTTGTTACAGTGTTTGGCATATCAAATACATCACGGGTAGATTGCCAAGCTTTGCCGTGTGGGCGAGATCTCGGTAGCTTACCGGGCTCTCCAAGAGGGGCGGAGGAATCAAACTCGGGTTGGCCATGTTGGCTGTGTGCAAGGCAAAACGCCCTACCCACTGTGCTATCGCTCCAGCCCCATAGCCTTATTAAAAGGAACAATTTGCACAGTAGGTTAGTCCTCATTCACTTTTTTCATTCCATTTTCTGTATTTCTATACTTCAAAACCTGGTATTTTTGTTTCTGTTGTTTTTCTTTTATTCCTGCCTATGAAAGGTGTCTTTTTTTCTTTAGTTTCTAAATTATTTTTCATTTCATTAAAAATTGTAATTAAATCACAGTAAGATACAGTTACAAAGCTGTTCATAATTGAGTTTCAGTCATAAAATGTTCCAATAGCCAGCCCTTCATTAGTGTATATTTCCTACCACCAGTGTCCTCAATTTCCCTCCCACACCCCTCTCCCTTATTTTTCATTTTATGTCATCAAATTTATCCACCTTTTCTTTTACTGCTTAGGAATTTGATCACAGTAAGAAACAGTTTTTCTACTCCCAGGTTATAGAGACATTTAATGATGGTTTAATTTTGTCTTTATATTTACATTTCTGATTCATGTGGATTTTGTTGTATTGTTTGGTGTGAGTTACAAATGTAGCTTTGGCCTTTTTCCAGTGGCTGGCTATTTTGTTAATTAAAAAGTTGATATTCTCTATGTATGATTTGACATACCACCTATTAAAATGTTCAAGTCCCAAATGCACTTTCTCAGTTTTGAAATCTCTTCTAGTTTCTAGTTTCTGTATCTTTTTTTTAGTTTCTATATCTTTTTATACTCTAATACCATACTTTAAATTATACAGGCTTTAGAAGAGTTTATGACTTTTTTTTTTGCTTTTTTTTTCCTTTTGATCACACCTGGCGTTGCACAGGGGTTACTCCTGGTTCATGCACTGAGGAGTTACTCCTGGCGGTGCTTAGGGGACCATATGGGATACTGGGAATAGAACCTGGGTTGGGCATGTGCAAGGCGAACGCCCTACCCGCTGTGCTATTGCTCCAGCCCCAGAGTTTATGACTTTTTCAGTTCAGGTTATACAATTGGTACATTAATGCCTAAGCTTTTTTTTTTTTTTGTAATATAAATAGGTTATTTGATTCTCTTTTCTAATGGGGAGTGTTTGCATATTAAAATTATTGGCCTCTGCATGTTAATCATTAAGCTCTGTTATTATTTGAGGTATTTTCCAGTCATATCATAAACTTCAGGCTGCCTTTTTTCTATCGTTCCTTCAGTTCATATGCTTTTCATTGCTTTTTTCTTTCCAGTTGCATGGCTGATACCTTAAGTACACTCAAGCTAATTTCTCTTAAACTTAAATTATTTCACTTAAATGTAAATAGTAATGGGAATAGGATCTCTCTCTTTGTCTTGTCCCTAATTTTCATGTGTATACGTTTGTTTTTCTTGCTAAGATGCTCAGTTTAGAGCTTGTGTATATTTTTAAACTACATTAAACTTATCTACCAATTATTACTGAGTGCTATTGTTTTGTTTTGTTGAGCTACTCCCATGTTGCTTATGGACTATTCCTGTTGGTATCGAACCCAGGCCTCCCACATGCAAAGCATGTGCTCATCCATTTGAGCTATCTCTCTGGTCTTACTGAATGCTTTAAAAAAAAGATTATACTGGCTAAAGATAAAGTGCAATGAACTGAGTGCATGTTTACATGCCGGAGACTCAGTTTTAGTCCCTGGCACTTCATGGTACTCCACGTATTACAGGAGCAGTCTCCAAGCAGAGAGCCAGGAGTACCCTGTGAGCAGGTCTTTATGTGGCCCCCACACCAAAGCCATGAATGGATGCTGTATTTTGTTTAGAGACTTATGATATTGTAGAGACTGAATTCGCAGTCTAACCATGAAACAAACACAATTGTAAATTATTAGCTATAAATCAGAAAAGTGAACAAGAACTGAAAGGGCAAAGGGACTAAGAGTATCTACAGAGGAAGTAACTATAGGAAGCACTCAGTATCTCTGACGCTGAAGAGGAAAAGGGGAAAGGATGGAATTAATAGTTTTGAAGGAAAGATCCAAGACTCAAAGCAGGTGTGCCATTATATGGTGCTGTTTCTCTACATAGCCATAATCAGGCTGCTCTCAAAATGTGGGAAACTGCTGACTGGAGCGTACTCATATGCTGAGGCCTGTTCTTCCTCCAGGATGAATCGTTTCTGTGTTGATACTGACAGGAGCAGGAAAGAGCAAATTTCTCTTTCCTCCTCCATACTTCCACTTTGCCTCAGAACCACCTTTTGCTAGATATTTAAGGGAATCTGACAGTGCTTGATTGTACCATTGGGTTTTTTTTTTCTTCCTATTTTTACTGAACTATCATGATTTGCAGTACTGTTACTGATAGGTTTTTTTTTTTCATTTTTTTCCCCCTTTATTTTATTTTATTTTTTTTTAAAGTTGTAGATTTACAATTTTTTGTGCTTTGGTTTCGATTATACAATGATCAGATACCCATCCCTCCACCAGTGCCCATTTTCCACCACCATGGATAATATCCCTCCCACCCCCATCCCCCCATCCCCCCTGTCTCTGTGGCAGGGCAATCCCCTGTGTTCTCTCTCTCCTTTTGGGTGTTGTGGTCTGCAAAAGAGGCATTGAGTGGCAAACATGTTCAGTCCATAGTCTACTTTCGACATGCATCTCCCCTCCTGGGAGGATCCTCCAAACATCCTTTATTTGGTGCTCCCTTCTCTATCTGAACTGCCCTTTCCTCTAGGATACCCGGCTGGCCTCTAAGTTATGGAGTAATCCTCCTGGTGCTGATCTCAGCTATTCTTGGGTATTAATCTCATACTTTGTTACTTTATATCCCCCAGATGAATGCAATCTTTCTATGTCTATCCCTCTCTTTCTGACTCATTTCGCTTAGCATGATACTTTCCATATTGTACCACTTGTATGTAAATTTCATGACTTCATCTTTTCTAAGAGCTACATAGTACTCCATTGTGTAGATGTACCAAAGTTTCTTTAACCAGTCATCTGTTCTTGGGCATTCAGGTTTCTTCCAGTTTCTGGCTATTGTAAAGAGTGCTGCAATGAACAAACAAGTGCAGATGTCACTTCGACTATACATTTTTGCCTCTCTGGGATATATTCCCAGGAGTGGTATTGCTGGGTCAAATGGGAGCTCAATTTCTAATTTTTTGAGAATTGTCCATACTGTTTTCCAGAAGGGCTGAACCAGTGGACATTCCCACCAACAGTGAAGGAGTGTCCCTTTCTCGCCACATCCACGCCAGCATCGGTTGCTTTTGTTCTTTTGAATGTGGGCCAGTCTCTGAGGTGTGAGATGGTATCTCATTGTGGTTTTGATCTGCATCTCCCTGATGATTAATGATGTAGAGCATTTTCTCATGTGCTTTTTTGCCATTCGGATTTCTTCTTTGAGAAAGTTTCTGTTCATTTCATTGCCCCATTTTTGGATGGGGTTGGATGTTTTCTTCTTGTGGAGTTTAACCAGTATTTTGTATATCCTGGATATCAACCCCTTGTCAGATGTGTATTCGGTGAATATCCTTTCCCATTCTGTAGACTGTCTTTGTATTTTGGTCACTGTTTCTTTGGAGGTGCAGAAGCTTCTTAGTTTAAGATAGTCCCATTTATCTATCTCTGTTTTCACTTGCTCGGCCAGTGGC